ACTTAAATTATACCTGCAGTTCCTTGGTCACGACTTTACGTGGGACTAAACTTTCAGTTAAACAGCATTATGCTACCACAACCTAGTTATCAAAGAGGATTATTGGGTAGTGGACCATTGGGGAGAAAACATCAGAAACTGAAGACAGAATTTCATTCAACTGAGCTGGCAGGCAGACAAAAAAGTGAGACGACTATGCCAAGGAGCCTGAGAGAATCTCTTTATATGGTTTAATGGTTTAATAAAATAAGCTTTAGGACTCCCTATAATTAAGACACGCCTGTTCAGATTTTTCTTTTTCTTTTTTTGCCAAACAAACTCAATGAATGGCTTTTTTGTAAATCTGGTCTTGGCAGGATTGCTTGAGAGTTTCACTCCTTCGTTGTTTAAGACTCTGGGATAAAGAAGGTTGACATTCCACACATAACCAATACATTACTGCACATTAGCTCAGTCACAGCTATGGCCTCCAACTAGTAGAAACCAATAAATGCTTGTCAGATCTTTATGATCAATTAGCTTCTTAGTTGTGGGGTCACACCAGAGCTGTTTAAGAGTCTCTGAATATTTATTTTCAGGATAACAGTTAACAGTTAAAAAAAAAAAAGTAATTAAAATGTACAATTCAACTTTTACAGATGGATTCCAAAGTCTGAGACCACTTGTTAAAACACTTTTTTTTGTATGTATTTTCCAGTTTTAAATAAATAAATAAATGCCAGTCTTCAGCATCTCCACAGCCCTATATAGGACAAGCAGTTTGCAAAATGTATGAATGGTTGGAAATAAATAAATGAAATAATATAGACAATAGACCGCAAAAAAAGGTTTGTGCAAAAATGAGTGATCATGTTCCTCAGCATGATTTGAGATGATCCATAGAACACTGTATACTTCAGTGGAGGCAAGAACATCTTACTGTCTATACAAAATGGCATGATCAATAAGTAATGATCAATGTCACAAATGTAGTTATTTGATTAGTGACCTAGAAATAGTGTAGAATCTAAATCATTTGTTTTATGTCATAATAATTCTTAATTTAATGTTTGAAATGTTTCAAAATCCTAATCCTTTTTATTTCAAGGTTTAGATTAGATTTTGAATCCCTGGTTTCCAATGTGGTCTCAGATTTTTGGACCCTGACTATATTCCTGAAAATTGCAAGTAGAAATTTCCAAGAACCCAACACAATCGCCATGTCAAAATCACTGCATTGACTAAACACTCTTGTGTTGTTTAAGAGGAGTGGCAGCATCTATACCCAGGATTTTTAACACAGCTGCTATTATTAGCAGAGATCTATTCAATGACTTGTTTGAATTCACACTGTCATGTCATTGTATCGCCAAAGAATAGGTACAAGACACAAACTATAGCTCTTAGATATGAGATTACAATGCATTGAACATTGCTATAGATGAGTGAATACTTTCCAGTTCTTCAGGGAAAAGCATTCGTTACCAATGTGCATCGCAACTAGCATCTGCATGTATGACCATAAAATCATAATATACACCTGTTGCCTAAATTGCTAGTATTAATATAAAGTGTCGATTTCCATGGCATTCTTATAAAGATTTAAATGGCTGGTTTAAAAGTCTTACCGTGTGTTAGATGTGTGCACCTCCTTATGTCACATCTTCTGTTTACACCTAATAGAGAAATGCAAGAACAAGAAAAACAAGTTGATCTGTTTAACCTGAAGAAAGCCTGGACTCTCTCTCTCTCTCTCTCTCTCTCTCTCTCTCTCTTCTGAGTTTCAGGATATGAAGAGCATAGAAACCTGGGTGGAAGTGTGTTAATACAGTCTGCATTCCTCTTACATTCCTCTGCGAGACAATAAACACAAGATCTTCACAGAGATAAGATTTTTTATAAGAAACTTTGAGAAGCCCAAAGGAAAATATTAAAAAAATAATGTGTAAAACACCACATAAACATATGTACTAACACATAAAGACACATAAATGAAATACTCACAGAGCCACAGAGTCTTCAGCAGTGCATCAGTCACTGCTTCAGTGCAGTGTGTTCGGGCTAAGCTTGTTTGTCTAGATCTGTCATTCTTCTCATGCCCTCCCTCTATCTTTAGTTTTTTCTCTTCCACTGTTCCTGTCACTCACATGTGTAAAGATACCTCAGTGTTTAAGCTATTTGAAGTATTTTCGTGAGTCTAGGTCAATTTATGTGGTGTTTGCTGTCAGCATCCAATACATTTAGAGTGATATTATCTTACTGCAAAGCTTTTGATGCATAGATTGTATTAGTAATGTATTGTTGTTGCTTTGCTTTTTTAAGCAATCAAATCTCATTGTTATGAAATATTTATTATTCTTATGAATCTCTAGCTTGCTCAGTTGTTGGAAATTGTGCAAAACTATCTATTTATTATTCATGCTAAAAATAAGGACATCTATTATTAGACATTAGGTAAAGGAGAGGTATAGAAGGTATATAGAAGAATTTCTCAAAACACACAAAGTAAATAATAAACATACACTCCCACGCTTACATAACCTCTCACTTGCAATGATTGTGTCATTTTGATATGAATTCTGTCTGTTGCCTCAGACACCTTGCCAAGTAGAGCACAAATGCTGTTCATCCTACCAGGATCTGTGAATCAAGTTTCACATGACACTTTTTGTACCTGCATTTCCTCTTTCCTCTCATTCAAAGTGCTACACTGTACCTTACGAATCTGCATTTTGAATCTTTAAAGCGACGATTAATTAAACACTAGTCTTCAGTCTCTAAGTAGATTTGTAGATGCGCAACTTTTAATAAAAATAAAAATGAAAAAGACTTGTTTTGTTCGTGAACAACTTCTGTGTGTTTAGCGAACAGGTTGAGTAACTGATTCAATGATTCACTCAAAAAGATTTGCTTATCTCCACCTACCAGGGAAAAATGCGAAATTTATTAGGACACCAAACAGGATATGGCGTCACACTCTATGGCTTTTGTTCATACATTTAGACTGTGGAAAGTAGTCTTTCATCAATTCCATTTTCAGAGCTGGGTAGTAACGGATTACATGTAATCTGGATTACATAATCAGATTCCAAAAATTAAGTACTTGTAATTAGAGTAAATTACATTTTAATATACTCACAATCAGACTACAGTTAATTTTTTGTTGATTACATATTATTCACACAATAGCAATAAATTATCCATAATTTATTTATTCTTCATAATTTCTCTTTTTCATCTTTTAAAATGTCCTTTCTAAAATAGCCTACCACTTCTATACTTCTGTTTTGTGCACATTCACAGCATTTGACCACTGGATTTACAAAAATCATTTCAGGTTTAAGAAGTGTTTCAACATGGCATCAACTACTGATGAACACATACATTTTTATTTAAATTATCACTCAGAGTCAGTGGGTTATTTAACCACTATAGCTTTGGAAGGCTTTTGTCTTTCAAATACATTAAAATGCACAAATTTACATTATTTCTTATGTTATTCAGGCATGTCATATAAACATCTTTCACCTAATAAATATTTAAACAATTATATTTAAACAATTAAGTATCACATTTGCAAGTTCACGGTTCGCTGACGTTCACATGACATGCAGGTAAACAAATTAAATATTTCATTTTTTAATAAGTGTTGTATTTTGATTGGTTATTTTAAAATGACTTATTTTAATTTTCCTTTTTAATTATTTAATTAATTATTATCTTTCCATAAAAAAAACACTTCAGTTCATTTAGCCTACTAACCTCATGAGAAACCTTTGATGTAATGTAATGTTTAATGCACTTATCCTATAATGTGATAGTTAGGTCAAAAATAAGCTAAACATAATCTGATTTTAAAAAGAAGCCTGATTTTATTACCCAAAAATGTGTAATGTAATGGATTACGTTACTAACTACATTTTTTGTTATGTAATTTGAAATCAGTAACGGACTACAATTTGTAAGTAATCTACCCAGCTCTGTCCATTTTTCACACTGGATACTACAATTGGACACTGCAAACCTGCATCTTTGTTTGGGATGTCGTCCTCTCCTCATACGAATTATCAAGCAATATTCCCTAAACTTTTGTTTAAAAAAGTACAAGAAACAACATAATGACACCGCATACAACTTAACTAAGTTTCAAACTAAGTGTGTTCTAATGAGCTTGTTTCTGGTCTCCCGATGTCACACGCGAATGAATGCAAGTCAGCGGAATGCAGTGCCTGCAGAAAAACTGAACGAATCACTGAAGGATTCAAAAGATTCGACTCAGTGGGTTCAAGTGGAATCTCCAGAACTGTCAGCCTTTCACAATTTCATCCCAGACATGATGTAAACCCTATCTCCCGTCCCAAAATAATACAGAATAATGCCCATATCTGTATAACTCTAAGGCCTTTCAGTAAAGAAACATGATAGCGATAATAACGCTGATAATGCTCAGACTACTTTTAGAAAGCATCAGGTAAGGCAATGGCGCCCTCGTGTGTCAAAAATTGCAATGGGCCTTCTTGGCAAGAATGAGTGATTTTATGCAATGCCTGTCAACGTGCCTCTTCTTGCAAGAACTAGCTTCTTCACTTCTGCTCTTGTAGCAGATGTAGTATCTATGCGTACCCACAGACTTTCTATAGGCTCTCAACGCATATGAACAACAATGTGCTTATTCAAAATACAAACAAGAGTCGTGGCGCGAGGTGGAGTTTAGCGGTCGTACATTTAAGCGGTCGTTAATTTACCATTCATAACTCTCGTTTTACTGTCCACAGCAGCTCCCTAAGTGATTTAAAATCAGTTTAAGAGACTTTATACACTTACTACGTTGTAGGTATTTATATAGGTAGATATTTTGTTGTGGGTGTTTTGATAAAGAGAATGCAGACCCCAAAAGGGGAGCTCCGCGTGTTCTGTAATGTGACACAAAGAGCTGTCAAGAAGGGGGAGGGCACGTTACAACATAGGTAAAAAAGCTCATGAGTTGTTCTCCAATGACAGAGCACCCGACACAACGTCAGGGTCTGGCGTTACATTTGCCTTTTACCAAAGTTGTACATTCGGAGCCGAGCCCTCCAACGTGGCGATCCCCCAGCCAACCCAAGAGCGGGGTAAAAATACTGCAGTGGATCTGAACGACTGGATTTTTAGCTGAATCGATAACACAGAGGCTGCCAGTCGAAGATTAGCGGTTTAAGAAAAAGAAAAAAAAAACTACTACAAGGCAACTCCCCCTGAAACGGGCTGCAAGGTTAGTCAATCTGCTGAAAGTTTTCTCATAAGCTGCAAGCGAGAGCTTTTCAGCTGAATTGCAACCGTTTCCTTAACATACAGTATGCATGTGTGGATAGGAGTTGGATGCATTACCTTAGAAGTTCTTATTTTCTTACTAGTTTCTACCAACAAACGAGTAAGAAACTATCAAATTGTGTCCAATTGCATTTGAGACTTTGCATAAAAGTTTTAAAGGGGCCATACGATGCGATTTCAAGTTTTCCTTTCTCTTTGGAGTGTTACAAGCTGTTCGTGGATAGATAAGATCCCTAAAGTTGCAAAGACTAAAGTCTCAAACCCAAAGAGATATTCTTTATAAAAGTTAAGACTGGTCCACACCTACCTAAAACGGCTCGTTTAAACACCCCCCCACATATCTACATCACTATGTGGGAAGATTTGCATAACGCCACCCAAATGTTCACGCAAAGAAAGAAGGCGTAACTTTTATTCTTGCTGTAGTATTGTTGCCGCCACCATGTGGTGAAGGCGCTGTGTTTTGTTGTGAAATTTGCATAACGCCGCCCAAATGTTCACGCAAAGAAAGAAGGCGTAACTTTTATTCTTGCTGTAGTATTGTTGCCGCCACCATGTGGTGAAGGCGCTGTGTTTTGTTGTGAAAGCGAAACTACATTGTTTGGCCTTCCAAAAGAGGACACAACTAGACATCAGTGGTTAAGTTATATTTACAACACTGTTCCAGTTCCAACAGTTCAACCCAAATATTCAATCATTACACCAAATACACAAAATTATGTTCTTTTTAGCAACATCATATGACCTCTTTAACTCAGTCACTGATTTTGGTCTTTAATACATTAAATTGGTTCTATAATCAATTCTGTCTTTAATCAGTATTTACAGTTTATTTGCAGGCAGAAACAATGAGTGTAAATGCATTGGTGGTGTGTGATATATTATATTCCTGGATTCCTAAAACTCCTATGTTCCTAAAATACCGTCAGCTGCCAAATTTGCACCAAGCTGGTGATGTTGCAGAAAATTTCAGCCAAAAATGTACCTTGTGTATATTAATTTAAACTTTAAGTCAAAATATATTTATATAGCACAATAAAAGCAACAGAAGTTGACACAAAGTGCTGCACAATTTAGAAAATCATACAGAATATTTATACAAACTTCCATATAAATACCAAATAATAAATATTTTTGACAGTTTCAGAAACATTAATCATATTTCAAAAACAAAGATTAACGGACAGCTTTTGTTGCAGACAAAAACATTTTGTTTTATCATAACATTGGACTTGTTGTTAGTTGCTGTAATATTTGAAGTTGTGTTTTTTACGTGAAGTTGTTTCTTATCTTTCTTACCCTGAAACACAAGTAAAAATTTGCTTCTTTTAAGCTGACAAATATAAACAGTGTGGGTACCCACATGGACAGTGAGAGCAAAGGAGAGGGTGTCAATTTCAATATTTCAGTCAGTGGTGTTGATACTGTCTACATAGTCATGTGTTCTCTTATGCACAGTTGTGTAAATGAAATCAAACGAGACTGGCACAGAAAAATAGCACAGCCAATCAAATAACTGGTTGAGTGGGAAGGTCACTGGCACTTGTAGAAAAGGCACTCGGAGGATTAACAACGAGGCAAAGAAAATCTGTTCACTTTCCCACTAGGTTTAGTTAGCTTTTGTCTTTATTGTGTAATTGGCAGAGTAGTCGTGCCAAACAGCTACCTAGACATGCAAGAGCATGGAGACAAGAGAGAGATGAGATGTTTACTTTTCCCATGTCACAAGATCATCATAGAGGCATCGGACACCTTGAAAACTTTCCACTTCACAAAGTCCGCTTGTCAGTCAACTCAGCTCTGACGCAGTAACACACCTCTTTCTCCTTCTCTCACATGCTCCCTCCCTCTGTCTTTGCTAAAGAGAGGGATCTGGACATCTGTACTTTTCCACTCTCACAGTGGAGAGTGCTTAGATCCCAGAGGAAGACCCAACTCTATGTATGTTTTGCAAGACCCCTCTTTCCATTAAACATATTTTATTGTACTGTCCCACTTTTAATGCAAGTAAACATTATTTTTATGTATTAAGCTCACTTAAGGACTTGTTTAGTGAGATTTTACCAGATAATCTTTAGATTTTTATTATATGTAAATGTAAAACATCATGTATATTTTTCTTTTTGTTAGTTTATTTGATTATATTTATGCAACCCTTGTATTTATGTAACTTTGTAGGCTCAGATGCTGACATGGTATTAAAATCTATACTACTACTACTACTAGATCCCCAAGCTGGGCCCTTCTTCATATGGTGGGTAAATAGTGCTAGACCTGACTCTTTCAAGTCAACGTTTACCCATATGGCCTCTTTAGCTGTGAAACTGTATGCAGACGCATGACTTTATGCCCCGGTTCAGGGGTTTTCAAACTTTTTAAACCCTTTTAATACCTGCAAATATGATGATCCCCTTTCATGAAATATAAAGGCAACTATATACATGACATGCATTTTCATGCATACAGACCCAGTTATACTTTGGAAAGCATTGAATTATAAAGACAAGTCTGTCATTTATCATTGCACTTAACGAAAATGATTAAAACATAATGTTGAAAATATATTTATATATTTACCCAATATTAGAGATTTTTTCAATAAAAAAATATTTTCATAACGATTTTTTCTTTCTTTCTTTTTTTAATTTCTATTTGTTCATTGTTAATCATACAAGAAAAACACATACAATAACCAACGTAGGCATTGTTTTTTACAATCAAACAAGAACACTGATGCATAATTGTTACCAGATATGTATGTCATCAATCCTGGAGACAAAATAATAACATTTTCCAAATGCTTTGTATTGTATAGCACTTTTCATAATAAATAGTATCATTAAGTGAACATAGTGTCATATAATTAACAAGACATACGTACATTGTAAGAAAGGGGAGATATAGAAATTTGATCAGATTACCTATGTATCCCTAGTACTACTTGCTCACAAAATACTAATCTTGTGAGGTAGAATAACTTCACTCGCTGGACTAGAGGTTACATGAACATTTTACAGTTTATAGTACAGTACTTGAAGTGCTTTTCACTTTAAATTAGCCAACTAAATTAGTTACTATAACACTGTCAGTAAAATATATTTGAATATAAATTAATATATAATAAATTATAACAGTGTTTTTTTGTATGGTGCTACAGTATGACATAGAATAAATTTTTTCTTGTATATTTTTTTTTACGGCTGTTTAATTACGTCAGTGTCATACTGTATTTGTGCTTCACATACTGTAATTTATTTCCGAACATTAAGTAAGTTCCCATCTCTCTGGAGCCTTAGCTTGGAAACAAGCTACAACTCAAAGAGCTTTTTGATTTCTAACAGTTGGAAATAAACAGCAATTAACTGGCCTAAATTTTCTTGTACAGTCCTGGTTGTGTGTTTCACAAAATTAGTTTTGAACCAACGGGACTCTGATGCTGGAATTGTGTTCGCGGGCTGTAGCTGTGGTTTCCTTCTGTTTACTTTTAAATATTTGGCCTGATCTGTATGCAAACATTTATTATTTGTCAAATTAACAAGACTTTAAGCCACCAAGCATACACACTTCTATGTTTGTCATTCGCCTGTGTTCAGCTGAGCTCTTTATCTCCACTGGAGAATGTCTGGATTATTTCTAAGATAAAGAGAATTAGATACAGTACTGTACAGGTTAGTGACAAAGAAGGAGTGAAAGTATGCCATAAATAAATAAAACACAAATTATAAACTGATTTTATATTAATAAAGAGATTAAAATGAATTATTAAAAGTTTTTTTTAAATGCATTATGTTGAATAAAACAAGCACATGGACCTATACATAATATAAGGCAACTATTCATTTAGCCTCTCTTCACTCTGGTTTTCTGCTCTCAGTGTTGTACATTCTGCACCATAATCTTCTGTTTACCTTGAAGTGAGAAGAAAAGTGATAGCTGGAGGGAACCAGGGAGATGGCAAGTTGGTTTTGACTTTTTGACTTTACTCACTCCAACTTACATAAAGAACACAATGAATCCTTTCACTTCTCTCCAGGGAAGAGGGAGAGAGTCCAAGAAAAAATGAGAGAGGTAAATACAGCGAAGTGGAGAGATAGATGAAGAGAAATAGAGGGTTAGCGGTTCCCCGTGGTTTTCTGCGAAATGGGTGTACTTGTCCAGGAAGGTGTCTTATGTACTGTGAACATCATGTTGAACATATTCTTTTCTCTTGTGCGTCACTGTCTTAGACCTTCTGTTGACAACAATTTAATTGCTGAGAACCTGAAAGGAACATTATAAAAACGAATCGTTTCACCATTTTATCCATGATGGTTAAAACAAGCAGCTATGCTGGAAGCAGTGTTGTTATTGGTAACTAAAACTATTAAAAATGGATTTCATTAATAGAAATAAAGCTGAAATCAAATACAAAAATACATTTTAAAATGCAACAAAAATTTAAATGCAACTAAAATAAGTAAGTTGAAGTAGTAAAATTGCATACTAAAATAAGACTGACTGGTCATTGTTCATGTTCTCCAGCATTTAGTGACAAATGTAGTGTCCTCTCTAGATGGAGAAGCCGCCGTTGCCCAATGATGAGGATGGTAGTGTATTGGCTGAGAGTCGATCAGACACGGCTCTGGTGGCGGCAGATGAAGAAGGGTCTGCGGGTGCTGATGGGCCAGAGGACGACAGGCCAGCGTGGGACAGTAAGCTGCAGTATGTGCTCGCTCAGGTGGGCTTTAGTGTTGGCCTGGGCAATGTCTGGAGGTTCCCCTATCTCTGCCACCAAAATGGAGGAGGTGGGTACTTTTGTTTATTGTATGTCTTTGTGAAATTGAGCTGTTTGTTAACGTAATCACACACTCTCTGTCTTCAGGTGCCTTTATGTTACTGTATGTGTTGCTGTTGCTCATTATCGGGGTTCCTCTGTTCTTCATGGAGCTGGCCGCTGGGCAGAGCATCCGTCAGGGCAGCATCGGGGTCTGGAAGCACATCTCACCTCGCCTCGCCGGCATCGGTTACTCTAGCTGCATGGTAAAACACTCTCTATATGAGAATAACTAATATTTTAGTACTTGAAGAAAATGATTTTATTGCATTATAACATTGAGCTTATGTATACGTATATGCATAGAAATATACATGTAGACATGTGTGTACACATTAATATATATACAGGTGCATCTCAATAAATTAGAATGTCATGTGAATTACTGAAATAAATGAACTTTTCCACGACATTCTAATTTATTGAGATGCACCTGTATAAATATATATATATATATTTTCCAGTGCATAGTATACATTATAACAAAGATAGACAAAAATAGTGTGTTGACATTTTTTCAGAGATATTATTGGTGAGTGTATATTTAAAACAAGCTGAAAGGTGTCATGTTTCGTCGGGTGGTTACATGACATGGGATTTTTTTAACTTGATTTATGGGCTTTAGCTTCTGTAAATCCCTAGATTAGTTGCAACAGGAAATGTGTCTGTATACAGGCAAAAAAGCCACAAATATTTTGTGGCTGATGCAATAAAATTAGAACATTTAGAGAAAATATTTGTGTCATGCTGGGTAGAATTGTCAAAACAGAAGTGTCAGTTTTATTCTGAGGCTTTAAAAAAACGCAGCCAGCTTTAGTTCACTGTTATGAGAAGTGTTTCTAAAGTAGCTGCAATCTATACACGCATGTTGATATATATTCTGTGTTTGTATGTGAGGAGTGGGAGTATTTCCTCTCTGTATGAAAATATAAGAGGATTTCCTGTGTGCTTTCGCATATATGTGCTTGTATGATAACAGTATCAGATTGTCAGTAAGACCATAAGTTCCATAATGTTGGTATCTTACACGATATGTGAGGTTATCTGAGTTTGTCTTTCAGTTACAGAACCAGTAAAGATAATGACAATGACTATTCTGTTCAGTTTAAAATGATACATCTACACAGGCGTTTTCATGCTGCTCTTGTTTTTCTCAGGTTTGTTTCTTCGTTGCCCTGTACTATAATGTGATCATTGCCTGGTCTCTGTTCTATATGGGGAATTCATTCCAGTATCCATTGCCATGGGAACAGTGTCCTGTAGATATGATCTCAAACCAGACAGGTATGTTGCTCACAAACACATAATCACTTGAATTGGCCATTTCGAGTCATTTTGTAGTCATATACCATAGACTGTATAAAAACATGGACGTAGTGTCCTTGACGTCACCCGTTGGTTTCTGAAGAGTTTTTGAAGCTCAAAGTTGGCGGAGCAGGCCATCGCCATCTTTGCAGCGCGTCACCGCGCGTCACTCGAGACTTTAGTCTTTGCAACTTCAGGGATCTTATCTATTCACGAACAGCTTGTAACACTCCAAAGAGAAAGGAAAACTTGAAATCGCATCATATGACCCCTTTAAGGCTTAACATAATTTAAACGGATGAGTTATAAAAAAAATTCACCCCCCTCACAGTTGTCATGAAGGGCAAAATTAGCTATATAGACCAAAACCACTTTTTGAACCAGGCTGTAAACACATTCTTTTTTCTGCTGCAAAGTAGGGCATTTTAACATGGGGAGTCTATGGGATTGACTCCCTTTTGGAGCCAGCCTCTAGCGGCCAGTCGATGAATTACAGTTTTAGTCACTTCCGTGTTGGCTTCACGAGAGAGACGGGGAGGTTGCCACTTGTCATATACACATAAAAAAATTAGTAATTCGTTTCTTACCATAGTACTATTCAAAAGTGTGAGGTCAGAGAGTTTTTTTAAAACATTTTTAAAGAAATTAATACTTTTATTCAGCAAGGATGCATTAAACGGATCAAAAGTGACAGTAAAGATATTTATAATACAAAAATTGTTAAATTAATGCTGTTCCTTTGAACTTTCTTTTCATTATAAAGTCCTGAAAATAAGTAATACGTTTAATTTAAAGCATCACAACTGTTTTAAACATTGATAATAATAAGAAATGTTTCTCGAGCAGCAAATCTGCATATTTTAATGATTTCTAAAGGATCATGTGACAGTGGCTGCTGAAAAGTCAGTTTTGCCATCACATGAAAATATGTTAAAATAATATATGTATGTGAAATTTATATTTAGTTTTATTTTAAAGTATTATATAAGCAATAATGGTTTCCAAAAAACAAAAATGAACAAACAAATAAAATATGAAAAAAAAAAATTTGGAAAATTAAACGCACAGTATGCAGTAATGAAAACATCAAGTTTTTTAAATAACAGTAAAACACACTGTATTCAAACTTTAGGTCAAGGGTTCAATGGAAGAATACATTTCGTTGTTGCCTTAGGCAAAGGCACAAAGAAAAATCGTTTTTTCTATTCAAATATGGAAAAAAATTGAATAGTGTTAGCAATCCTCTAATGAGCACTTCACTAGTCAGTTACTCACATACATCCCTGATAATTATACTCTTTGTATATTGCGTGACTTTGATATAAAGGGTTTTTGTATGGCTGTGTTGTAACACATCTCATCTTCTTGTCTTAGTGAAGGAATGTGCGTCAAGCTCTCCTACCTCATATTTCTGGTTCAGAAAGGCTCTGGATATCTCAGACTCCATAGATCAGTCAGGAGAGTTTAACCCCATCATGACCGGTTGCCTGCTTGCAGCCTGGGCTTTAGTGTGTCTCGCAATGATCAAGGGCATCAAGTCTTCTGCTAAGGTATAACATGCACACATGTTTGTTTCTCTATCATGTTGGAGACTTTTCTTGTAAATCTATTGTTTGTTACTGAGCGAATGATATTTTCTATCCCTTAACCTCAGACAAAGCTTATTATATTGTAAAAAATAAAGAATTTTATCAAGCCATTTTCCTGGCAATGTTGGTGTTTTGCTATTTTTGTGAGGTTTTAGTATCCTTGAAGGGATATTTGGTTCCCAGTGTGTTCAAAATTGTTGGCAAAACTTGTAAATAAATGGAATCAGCAGATGTTTCATAGTGAAATCAAAACATAAAAAGATCATGATCTGTCTCTTCTTTTCTTTAGGTGATGTATTTCTCCTCTGTGTTCCCTTACGCTGTGTTGATCTGTTTTCTAATCAGAGGGGTCATGTTGGACGGCGCTGTAGAGGGCATCAAATATATGTTTTATCCTAAGGTGACAACAAGAGCTCACTCCCATCAAATGCAATATCAAAATGCGATTGTGTAATCATAGTCTATTCATCCCCATCTTTATTAGCTGGAGATTTGGGGGGAAGTGCAGGTGTGGCGTCAGGCTGCTACACAGGTGTTCTTCGCACTGGGTCTGGGTTATGGCTCTGTGATCGCTTACTCGTCCTACAATCCTGTGCATAACAACTGCCACCGGGACGCCATCATGGTCTCAGGCATCAACTTCATGACCTCAGTATTGGCCTCTCTGGTTGTCTTTGTGGTCCTCGGTTTCAGAGCTAAGAACATTGCTTTGGGTTGTGTTGCAGCGTAAGTGAGAATCTGTGTTAATTTTCCTCCTTTTTTGCTTGAAATACAATTTTATCTCTCACATTAATTTATGAAAGTGTTATGAAATAGACACACATCACTGTTCAAAAGTTTGCGATCAGTAATATTTTTTTAATGTTTTTGAACAAATTCTCTTATGCTCACCAAAGCTACATTTGAACAAATTCAGAGTAAAAACAGTAATAATGTGAAATATTATTACAATTTAAAATAACTTTTTAAAATAACTTTTGAACATTACAAAATATAATCACAAAATTATAACCTTTCCTTGAAGTAAAACAATTTGAAAGTGGGGGGAAACTCACATTATGAAATAAATGTTTTTCTCCAATAGCCACAATTATTGGCACCCCTAGGAATTCTTCATAACAACGTTTATTTCATTATGAGATCCATTTCTTTATATTGATATTACATGTAATGTTAATATCACTCTGTAGTAATGTGGCCAGGATGGCAGGAATGGCAACAACAGGTTCGTCGGAGCATTGGTGGCCATGGTTCAACATTTCAGACCCCGAATCAGTGACTCTTCAAGACTACAGAGAATGGTACAGCCACTATGGAAACCTGCTAGGGTCAAACATCACTGACTGTGACCTGGAAAGAGAAATGAGCAAGGTGGGATTCACATATATGTATGTGCTTCAGTGCATATTCAGTATCCAAATGTGTCTCACTATCATAATGAAACCGTTTCTGGTTGTGAGAGTCCATCTGTGTTGATCCTGTTTCTATTTCTCTTAGGGTGTGGAGGGCACGGGTTTGGCATTCATAGCATTTACAGAGGCGATGGCATTGTTTCCAGCAAGTCCATTTTGGTCGACTTTGTTCTTCCTCATGCTGCTGAATTTAGGCCTCTCCACCATGTTTGGCACCATGCAGGGGATTCTTACCCCACTCATGGACAACTTCCGAGTGCTCGGGCGCCACAAGACCATGTTGACGGGTACACACAAATAGACACGCTCATATACTAAAGGATATTGTGACGTGGCTGTAAATGTCACATAACTTGGCTGTATCATTTGTATCATTTACAGTGTGTAGCTGTATCCTGGGCTTCTTCATTGGCCTGCTGTTCACTCAGAGAAGTGGCAACTATTTCGTGACCATGTTTGATGACTATTCTGCCACACTGCCACTGATCATCGTTGTGGTTTTTGAAACCTTCAGCGTGGCGTGGATTTACGGTGCTGATCGGTGAGATGATAGATTTCTAAGATGATTATCTTGGGGTTAATATGGTTTGTGTGATCGGCCGTGTGTAGTTTTTTAAACATCATTGTATTTGCTGTTCTCCAGTTTCTTGGATGATGTGGAGGTGATGCTGCACTGGCGCCCTCCAGTGATTTATTGCTATTTGTGGAAGTATGTGTGTCTGCTCGGCATGGTGGGACTGCTGGCTGCTAGTCTTCTCCGCATGGTCTTCAAACGGCCCACTTACACAGCTTGGAACCACACCATGGTATTATACACTCTCAAATGAGATGGACCATTATAAACTAACTTCCATGTAAAAAAAAAAGAATGATGACTGTAGATACCTTTAAAGGGATAGTTCACCCAAAAATGAAAATTCTGTCACTCACCCTCATGTCGTTATAAAACCTGTAAGTCCTTCATTCATCTTCAGAACACAAATGAAGATATTTTTGATGAAATCCGAGAGCTTTCTGACCCTGCATAGACAGCAATGCAACTACCGCGGGCAAGGTCCAGAAATGAATGAATGAAGGTCTTCCGGGTTTGGAACGACAAGAGGGTGAGTAATTAATGACAGAATTTTTATTTTTGGGTGAACTAATCCTTTAAAGGGCCAAAAGAAAAAATCTGTCATCATTTACTCACCTTAATGTTTTTTCAGACCTGTATGACTTTATATATTTTGAAAAACGTTTTGGTATTTTTACACATATGCTGCTGTTCGAAAGAAGACTCTCGTACTCATTACGACTGCATTTATTTGATCAAAATACAGTAAATAAAACAACAAAAAAGTATTATTACCATTAGCAATAGCTGTTTTCTCTGTTAATATGTTTTAAAATGTAATTTATTCCTGTGCTTCAAAGCTGAATTTTCAGCAGTCATCACTGCAGTCTTCAGTGTCACATGATCGTAGTATGTTTATTTGCTGCTCAAAAAACATTTCTTCTTATTATCAGTGTTGAAAACAAAATGTTTTGTGGAAACCTTAATACTTTTTATTTTTCAGTATTCTTTGATGAATAGAAAAAATGTATTAGTTTCTTTAAAAACATTGCATGGTGGTGTACAATGAAAATCAAGTGGCTACAATGTTGTTTTGGACCCCATTGACTTTTATTGTATGAACAAAAACATTTGCCATATTGCTGCAGATTATCTACCCAAGTGTGGTGAATGTATGTCTCTTTGTCAGGGATCTGAAACTAGCCTCGAGTATCCTGGATGGGCTCTGGTCATGCTCTCCATGCTAATCATCGTAGCATCTCTCCCCGTGCCCATTGGCTACCTGCTCTCCTTCCTCAGAGGTGGGCGGAGCCTACCAGTGGAGGAGGGCGAGATTGAGCCTCCAAGAGAACGATACTCCAAATGCAATTCTGCTGAGCCAGAGCCGAATAACCATCACTCCCCACTGGACGAAGACAGGAATCGGCCGCGCTCCACCTTCCTTCCACTGGGTGCTGAACACTACAGGCTGCTCCCGCAACAGGAAGAGGGAGAGGAAGAGGAAGACACTGGGCTGTAAGGAAATGCAGGGACAAAATTGAATTCAACAGGTGTTTGAGCAGAAAACGAAAAGACTATTTATCGATGAGTATTGGAGTTTTTTTAATGGAGTGGAGGGAGGCGGACTCCATTTATTCTCATTATGCTAATGAACATTCATGAAACATATTAGTCAGTCAAAGCCCTATTTGAGAGGGACGCTTTTTGCAAGTGCACCAATCACTGAATTGCTTTGTTCTTGAATCCCTACATGTACATACTGTAGTGATGTGCTCTATACCAAAAGTGCCTCTTAAAGGGATAGTTCACCCAAAATGTTCAAAATGAGGGCAGTCGTGGTCTAATGGATAGAGAGTCGAACTTGTAACCCGAAGGTCGTGGGTTCGAGTCTCAGGTCTGGCAGGAATTGTCAGTAGGGGGAGAGAATAACCAGCACTCTCCACCCTCAATACCATGACTGAGGTGAGACCCTTGAGCAAGGGTCAAGCCAACCCCCAACTGCTCCCCGGGTGCTGCAGCATTGGCTGCCCACTGCTTCGGGTGTGTGTGTTCACTGCTGTGTGTGTGCACTTGGATGGGTTATTATGGGACACCATACTTGGCCACACGTCACTTCACTTTCACTTTCAAAAATTAAAATCTCACTCTCAGGCCATTCAACATGTAGATGAATTTGGAACAGATTTGAAGTTAAAACCATCTTCATTAATTTCTTTATCATAAACATGCAGCTTTTCACTTCACAAGACATTAATTGATGGACTGGATCACTTGTGGATTATTGTGATGTTTTTATCAGCTGTTTGTACTCTCATTCTGACGGCACCCATTCACTGCAAATCTTGGATGGCCTGAGTGTGAGTAAATTTTCAGCAGATTTTCATTTTTAGGTGAACTATTCCTCTAAGAAAGATGCACACTTAGAATTAATATCAAATTACAGCTTCTCCAAAGGACATCATGAAATTACACTCATGTCATACAGAATATAGCTGGTGGAGGCAGTTTTTAAAAATGTATCAGAATTATCAATGTTACTAGAATACTAATATTTGTGTATACTTTTCTGCAAGGAAATGGTATTTAGAGGTTCAAAGTTTCTTTGAGTATGAAAATATTAGTCGTTAACTTTTTTAATAAGCTTGTTTTAGCCTGGAAATGGTTATAATATCAAGAGGAAATTGTGTTATATATTATTAATAGAGTTACATGAAAAGTCAACAGTTATGTCAGACATAAATTAAGTACACAAATTATTTTGTAGTTTTCAGTGACAGTAAAATACTACAATGTTTTTAGTAAAGCCACAGATGATAGTATAAATGATCTGACTATCAAATGTCGCAGATTGCACAAATATTAGGTTAAAGCTACTTTGTCAAACAGAAAGCACAGCTCATGGTTGAGCATCACCCACCCACTCCTAATATATCTACATATGTGACCCTGGACCACAAAACCAGTCATAAATAACACTAGTATATTTGTAGCAATAGCCAAAAATGCATTGTATGGGTCAAAATTATTGATTTTTCATTATGCCAAAAATCATTAGGACATTAAGTAAAGATCATGTTCCATGAAGATATTTTGTAAATTTCCTACTGTAAATATATTAAAACTTAATTTTTGATTAGTAATATGCATTGCTAAGAACTTCATTTGGACAACTTTAAAGGCGATTTTCTCAATATTTTGATTTTTTTGCACCCTCAGATTCCAGATTTTCAAATAGTTGTATCTCTCCAAATATTGTCCTGTCCTAACAAACTTTCAGATGATGTATAAATCTCAATTTCGAAAAATGTACCCTTATGACTGGTTTTGTGGTCCAGGGTCACATATAAGTTTTCATTTTCCGGTTTGTACAACTCCACTGGTACATGTAATACAATGCAATTTAAGCCATGACTCGTGATGCCAAACTTTGACTGCACAGGAAGAAAAGGCTTTACATTCATAGTGCACAGTTTACAGTATCATTGAATTGTGAGATCAGAAGAACAATGCAGAACAGTTAATAAATGACTGCTATGTGGATCCTCAGCTTGAATCAGGTGTGTGAACACAAATACTACAGATTACAGATGAATTTCATGGTCCTTTGATGGTTATTAGGGGTGGGAAAGCTCAGGGTTTGTGTGTATACATTATAGGAGGTGTTTGCATGTTTACTTCATTTGTGAGTATTCTTTTTATTCATTCACTTCTGTTGTAATGTAATTTGACAGTACATACAGAATAGTTTGGATACTTTAGAGTGTTTGTGTATGTGTGTCAAAAACAATATTTTGTAATTACCATCACAATTTGTGCCATGCTGAAGAGTCACTGTATATTGTCTGTACCAAATAAAAAGTTTGTTGGTCATAGATGTGAGAGCACATTTCTTTCATTAATATTTATTTTGTTTACCACTATGTTTTTAGAAGATTATAAGTTCACTTAAGTTCAATTCAAATATTTTAAAAATTTTATACAGTTTTCATAATAAATATTGTTGCGAAGGTTTTTTTTAAGACAGAACGGATTTCAGACCAGAATTTAAAGAAAGCAGAATTAAACTGTAATAAATGAAACTGTAATAATGTCAGGGAAAATGCACACAAAATTAAACAATTTAACTATTTTCCTCTAAAATTTTCTTTAGACTATAGTTACACCTTGTGAAATATTTATTATATGTGGAACATTAAAAACCCATCTGTACGAAGAGAAAACCTTTGTGAGCTATTCTTACCTGATATGCCTTATCCTTAACCTAAAAGAATGTTTGTTTGTGTAACCATCCAAAAAATATAGACCGGTTGATTCAGTCTGTTTTCATGTTATTATTATGAAAATAAGAATTTGACCTGAAAACCGGTTGATTTAGATTTTAGGCTATATGAAATCTTACATTATCTGGCAAGCAGTTATAATTATTATATAACTGCATTATTAATTAATTGCCAAATTATCAGTATTATTTAAATCTGCAAATACACGATATCACTGTAGTAAACGCAAGGTGGCGATAGACTGCACATAAACTTTCACACAGGGACCTCAGGTACCATCACACGATGCTGAGAAACTGCACAAACACAACTTTTATTTACAGGTGACAGACTGTGATATAGCCTACTATAGACTATAAAAGGTTAGTTACATGAGGAATGTAGCAGCTAAAAAAAAAGCTTTTATTGATTATATACAAAAATATGTCAATGTCTTTATGCTCTATGAGACATCTATTGTGTTAGCATATTATATATATTATTAGGCTATAATATATTCTGGACCACGGACACAGAGAGAGAGAGAGAGAGAGAGAGAGAGAGAGAGAGAGAGAGAGAGATAACTGAACTACAGATAGTAAGGCAAATCTGAGAGAGAGAGAGAGGCGCACGGCGCACGGCGCACGGGACAGGAGCATACCGGTCGGACTCGGAAGTCGCGAGGATGGAGATCCGTCCAGACCGCTTTAAGGCTCAGGCAGGAAAAACATTGGGAAAAATACACAGGTGAGGAAGTATCTTGCTATCCTCAAAGCATTTTGGTACTTTAAGAAGTTTTCCTTTAATTGTTTTATATTTCTCTCTTGGTTTCTGTGTATTCTTGTTTAAAAACGAAACATAGTGTTCAAAAGTGATTTACGTCGAAATTGAGGTGTTGAGAAAACTTCTGGAATTCAAAGGCGTTGAGTTTATGTCAGTGACCTGATCTGACAGCACATTTACTGAGGAAAGATGCTGGTGGAACCGTATTATATCAAGTTCACTGTAGCCAAAAAGTGCTGCGTTCCCTTCTCTGTGTATGTGTATCCTGCCTCAACTCAAGATGTCAGGTGCAAACCCTTGTCGTGATTGACGCTCAGTCAAAGGTCTTCTTATGTAATCTGTTTGCATGTAATGCGTCCACTCTGTCCGATTGAGGAGATTGTCCAGAAGGATCAGATTAGTTCGCGGCTAACCCGGTGCCATCCGACTCATGGCGTTGATGGCTTGCTCTCTCTAGTATCTGTGCGCTAGGCATGGGCCGGTATGAGATTTTGACGGTATGATAACCTTAAGCAAAAATATCACGGTTTCACGGTATTGTCATTACAGCTCTAAAATGTGTTATTTTTAAAAGACTGGGTAAAAAAAAAAAACACACCGCTGAACACAATATATTTTGTTTTTGAGCAACATACAGAATATTAGGAACAGTAGAATTTGTTTATTTTTTCTTTGATTTGTTTCCTAAAAAGAAGAAAAATAAAGACTGACATCTTTATTTAACCTAAATCTGTAATTACAGTTATTTAATTTTAGTTATATAATTCATATACATATCATTTATATAATTTCATATCATTTAGTTATATAATTTCTTATACATAATTTGATTTAATAATAACCCAATTTTAAGCAAAAACAGAATGTTCTGACTAGCTTTGGGAAATTATACTACATGCCTGAACGAAGCAAACAGCAGAAGCACTGAATGAGACGCAGATTCTCTCTCTGACAGCAGGAGGCGCTCATGGAACACCAGATACAGCGTTTCCTTGGTTACCGCTGTAAATAAAGCAGCACTGCGCTGAAGCACTGCTTTAATATGAACTATACAGAGACCAGATTAAAAGAAAATACCACGTAAACTTTTCTGAAGACAGTCAGTTCCCCTCAGAAATACATTCATATAAACCCCCAAATCAATATTTAGAATTTTCTAGAAATAGTTTGTGCATCATGAACAGTGAGTGATCTGCCTGCTTCAGTATTTTTCTCTTTTGCATCCGTCTTCAGCATCTCTGGCCTCCGTTAACAGGCGTTTACAGATTCATATTTTCACATAAATTACATTTTGGAAAATGACTGCTTTGCAACTCAGTTTGTGCAAGTCCAGAACAGAGACGAGCTGCAATAAAACAATAAACGGCCGGTTGCCGATCGCGTGAGTTCCAGAGGAAGCTTCTTAAGTTCGGCCGTCTTACACAGTACACACGTGACTGAGCGCTCGGTCGCACCAACAGGAGGAGGAGGGTCATGTTACTCTCTACACTGCAGTCAACCTGAGGGAATCCTACACTTTCAGTCTTTGAGGAGACACGAAAAACAGCACATACCGCAGGAACGGTATAACGGAAAATATCAGCGGTGAAACCGTGAAATTTTCAAATCGCGGTATACCTTGAAACCGGTAATCGGCCCATGCCTACTGTGCACGTGAGCGAGTTATTTCAAATGAACCTTTTTATTCCACCTGAGCGTCAGGTAGCGTTGCGCATTACCGCACAGCTCGCGCTCAGAACATTTGCAAGTTCTGATTCCACGCACTAGTTGATAAAGTGGACTGCTCTCAGAGAACAGGAAGTCAATGGGCAAATTTGGTCTTAATACGCCATGAGTACTTAGTAGTAAACATAATACAAACATTCCATAGCCTACAAAAAGAACAAGTAGGCTATTTTATATGCTAGCCTATTAGCAATAAGAATGAATGGTAGCTAAATAAAGTAATTACTTCAACAACTAAACTGTATTATGTTTTACAACTAATTAAGAAGGAACGAAGTATTTTGTCTTGACAGATTTGGTGTTGAGCACATTTGGCTGGCGGGGGAGCGTTTTAAATACCTTGTTAATTCGATATCTGTCTTAGGCGCAAATTCAGACAGGATGGACTGCTCAAAGGTCAAAGTACATCCCTTTCGAGAAAAAGTTAATCTAATGCCTGGAAAAATGTTTGATAACCACTAACATCAATGTCCTGTTTTATAAAAAAGTATTTAAAATAAATATACAACATTTTGTAGATCATCACACAGTCACGTCAATATCCAATGGTGACATTTTGCATAACCATGCGCTTTTTCACGTACGCTTCCAATGGATTTTAGGTAGCAACGAAATATTTAAATCCAACTCGAAAATAGCCCATGAGAAACACACACAGCTGTCGGCCCTACAAATCCCTGCACGCCCCCTCCCCATCACTTCCTCTTCTCTGTGATCTCGCTGGATTAAGTGGAGGGCGGCGCGGGACTCCCATTTTTTTAGCGGCGCTGCATGTGCGCAGTAGTTTCCCTCAGTGAGTGAATTTAGCCTAATATAACTTTTCAAATAAATCGTACTTTTGTCCGCATAATAGATGTCTCATATCTGATAACCTGTGCCTTTAAGTGTAGTGTGACATGAAAGGTATTGTATTTGTGGAAAAGTTTGTGTTAAAAGTAAACTGCTGATCTGGATTTCTGCCTCTCCTCTTTAGCTGTGACTCTGTGTCCCTGATAATATTTTAGAGAAAGCATCAGCAGCTGATTAATCATTTAAAGCTCAGCAATGCGTCTCCTTCTCCTACTGTTTCAGCCTCACAGGCCAGCAAGCACACACCTCACACCTGCAGTTTTCCCTCTGTCATCCCTCCTCCATCTCTCCACCTCACTCTGCACATTCAGTCATCCCTCCTTGAGGAATAGATGCTTTTTCAGACCTGTGAAATTTGGTTTTTTAATATAGTAAATTCTCTTAAAATACACTTTTCACTGTTTGTTGACAATGGCCAACATATGGCTCACAGGTAAATACTAATTTTTCTTAAAAATCATTGACATCTTATCCACCAACATTGTGTTTTTAACAGTCTGTATACATTGTAAACATTTTTAAGACTCTTTTGTTTTGCAAGGGATAATTTCATAGCTTTATGATCCTGAATACATAATTCAAATGCCATTTTCACACATAGTAAATCATTTGACAAAATTGAAGTTTGATAAATTACAGCTATTCTGTTTATTGGGAGCTCGTGAGAATGGTTCCTGACATAGGAGTTATATGCTGAGAATTAAAATGAAACAGCCACACAGTTCTTTGTAAAAATATGAAAATAGCACAATGGTCGCTGGAGTTTGGCGAAACCATGCCCCTTAGGTTGAGAGCATCACGTGACTCCAGCTATTCTGTTTACAAAATTATTTTACTTCAGTGATTTTTACACATCACATCTTATTTCAAAGCATGTGCTTCATCTCTCTTTCATAACCAAATACACTAACTTTTTTTATTTTTTTTATTTGTGATGACCCAAGTTTAGCATGCATGTAAGTGCCAGTAGTTGAAGAAACACTCAAACATCTTGTACTCATTAATATCTTTGTTCCATAATGAATTCAATTTTTGTTCAGATTTCTGACACGTTCTGATTCCAAGAGAAACATTTAGGTCTTAACTAAAAATTAAATTAAAACTTGCATTTACAATTATAATGTGTGGTAAGATAATGTTTCTTAACTGTGCCAGGCACTATTTTGCACAGATTTTTATTCTTGTTTGTCGTTCCTGTTTTTCGTGTTGAGTAGACTGCTTATCTGAAAGCATGTGAAGGTCAGGCTGCTGGGATGTGTATAAGTTTGCATGTGTGTGTGTGTGTGTCAGGAGGGGGGAAGTATCTCCCCAGGTGACACGGTCCCACTGAGACCCAATCTGTTCAATAGACGCAGGGGAGGGTCAGAGGAGTTTGGCATAAAAATCCTAGAACAACACTGATAGTAGAACAGAAAGAAATGTGTAGGGGAGGGGCAAACGAGATTTGTGGATGAGTTTTAATCTGTTACCTTTATACAATATCATCAGAATTGTTCATGAAATTAACCAAATAAGGTTAGAGTGGCGAGTAGATTCAGAACACCTCTCTGTACATGAAACAACAGGAGAGTAGTGAGACAAGATGATAAAAGGATGAACAGAACATAGATGAAGTGATGGTCAGAGAGAGAGAGGGGGCAGGGAGAGAGAACTGTAGGATTATGTAATTTTTTTACTGTTGTGCCTTCATCCTTTTACAGCAAGATTAAATGGGAAAGAGTGCATGTGTGTCATTGTATGTTTGATGTGTTTATGTGCGTAAAAGACCTTTGGTGTCAGCAGAAATCTACATATCTTACCTCTTAAATACAATTTTGCAACAGTAATGAACCATGTAACATGATCTTGCACTACAATATGAGATGCATTAGAGCATGATTTGTAATTCTGTATTTTTTTTTTAATCTGTGATGGTCACATGGTGTAATACATGTTCATCATAAATAATCATAATGCTGTCCTGCAACATGTAAATATTGTAAAACTGTCATTGTACATTGTTGAAAATTATGTAGGCTAAAAGGTGGCTATGTCTGAAATAACATACTTTCTTTTGAATAAGTACTTTAGTTAGTAAGCACTTACGTAGTACTATAGTATGAATGTGTGTAGTATGAATGCAATCTGGATGTACTACATTAATTATACTGTAATTTTCATGCAACCTATCAGCATCAGTTGCGTCTCCTCATGGTCATTCACAACTCCACTGAATGCACACATAATCCTGCTGGAAGTAGCTCATATATATATATATATATATATATACAGGT